GTAGGAGAAAAATGGTCCCCAAAGCAGGCGAAAGAGTCAGATATACCCACACTCCCACTGTAAGGAGTCCCTCTAAAACAACAAGCCAACAACCGTAACATGTATGTAGAGAACCTAGTGAGGACCCATGCAGGCTCCAGGATTACCATTCAGTCTCTGTGATACCCATGAGCCCTTTGGGCCACACTCTCCAGTTGTCCTCGACCCTTCTTTTCTCACAATTCCCCTCCCCTCTTCGGTTAGGTACCTAGATCTCTGAGGTGAGGGAGCCAAGAGAAACCTCCAGTTTGGTCTCTCTCTCTCTCTCTCTCTCTCTCTCTCTCTCTCTTTCTCTCTCTCTCTCTCTTCCCCTCCCTCCCTCCCTCCCCCCTCTCTGCCTAATGCTTGGCTGAGGGTCTCTGCATCGGTTCCTATCAACTGCTGGAGGAAGTCTCTCTGATGATGATTGGACTAGGCATCAATCTATGAGTATAGCAGGGTATCATTAGGATTCACTTCATTTAGTATTTAGCATCTATCTATTTGTGTATGTATGCATTTATTTGTGCCAGTTGTGTTTGATTCTACTCTAGGTCTCTGGGCTGTCCAGCCTCCAGCCCCTGGTTATCCTGGCAGTGCTAGCCATGGGCTCCCTCATATGGCATGGGCTGCCTCAAATTGGACTCATTAGTTGACCACTCCCACAGGTTCCGAAGTACCATTGCTCCAATACATGTTGCAGGCAGGACAAATTACAGGTAAAAGGTTGTGTGGCTGAGTTCTTGTTTCGCTGTAACCACTGGAAGACTTGCCTGGGTTCAGAGCATGACTGGTTCAGGCTCTGTATCTTTCATTACTAGGAGGCCTCCCTCAGTAGGATCACCCCCTAAAGTCTAGTCAGTGTCCACTGCACTAGGTTTCCACGCCCCCCATGCCATCCAATTCCACTCTGCAGTCCTTTCTCTCTCCATCCTCTGCAACCTGATCCCTCCTGTTCCCACACCCACAAAAATCTATTCTGTGTCCCTTTCCTGGGGAGATCTATATGTCCCCTGCCAGAGCCCTCCTTGTTCCCTAGTCTTTCTGGGGCCATGGATTGTAGCACGATTATCATTGACTTCACAGCTAATACCCACTTATGAGTGAATACACACCATGTCTTTCTGGGTTGCCATTTTTTTCCTAGCTCTATACATTTGTCTGCTAATTTCATGATGTCATTTTTAAAAACTGCTAATACTCCTTTGTGTGATGTACCACATTTTCTTTATCTGCTCTTATGTTGTATCCACTCTTATGTTGAAGGACACATTGTTACATTAAACCAACTGTTTTACACTTATTTGTGTGTGGGGAGACCAATGTAAAGAAGACATTATGGGAGTCAGTTCTCTTCATTATGTGGGTTCTAAGGACAAAACTCAGGTGGTCAGGTATGGGGGTAAGCACATTTACCTAATGAATGAGCCATCTTGTCAGTCCAACAACATTTTTTATAAAATGTTTCAAAATGCAAATTTATCTATGGTAGTTAAAACAAAAAAGCCCAGCAACAATAAAACAGTTCCATGCATCCCAGGTTGGTCTCAAACTCACTATGTAGCCAAAAGTGACCTTGACCTTCCTGCCTAGGGTTACAGTGCTGGGATTATAGACATGTGGCACATTCTACCTTCTCTCTAACCAGTCTCTACCTCTGCCCTCTAAGGATTGTCTAAGGTCAAAATTCAATGTACAGTGTAACTGGCTACTACCTCTGTTATCTAAAGCAATGAGCCTTTAAAATGCTATTCTGCTCTTAGAAATATAAATGAATTCTCAGAAAAGATTTGATTACTTATTAAAGTAATTGCTGTTCCGTGCTAATTTTGCTAGACTTTTGATGATTTAGTAAACTTATCTTAAAAGTCTAAGTTCACTTAAGATATCTGCGTAAGTCTCCTAGATGGCTACTTTACAAACAACAACTTTAGGTGATTTTCCTTCATTTAATACTGTATGGAAATGTGTAGATATGCATATCCGAGCTTGATACTTATTATATGGGAGTTTGCAGAGTTAAAGACGAGTACTGAAAGCAAAGTAACCTGTGCTCCATTTTATACAACAGGCCTGTCTGGATTTTCAACACATAAAGTAGACAGTGGAATTCTTTTGACTACGTTTGTTTGTTTTTAAGACAGGCTCTCGCAAACACTAGGCTGGCCTCAAATGTGTCCTGTAGCGGAGGACAACCTTGAGCTTCTGTTCTCTGGCTTCCATAACGGGTTTTTGCTCTTTTTAATTAGTTCCATTTGGAGAGAGTGAGAAAGAGAGGGAGGTAGGGGGAGGGAGGTAGGGAGGGAGAGGGAGAGAGAGGGGGGAGAGGGAGAGAGGGAGAGAGGGAGAGAGGGAGAGAGGGAGAGAGAGAGAGAGAGAGAGAGAGAGAGAGAGAGAGAGAGAGAGAGAGAGAGAGTCCTGCTATTTAAAAACCTGGCCGACATCTATTTGCCTTATTTTGATTTTGTATGTGAGGCCACCTGTAGGTAAGAAATTAATGTTTGTGATCACCAGCACTGTTCCCTGATGTGCAAGCATCCTAAGGTTTTGATTTTCACCAGCTATAAATTTACTGTCCTACTAAGTCAAAGAGTAAGTTTTGCTTCAGAGGTAGAAAGTAAATACATAAAGGACTTCTGTGTAGTTCCATGTAATGATGCTGTAGCTGCTGGCTCCTATACATGCTTGTGTATTCTATAAGCTGGTGTCCTCTGGACTAGAAGTTTTAGTGATAACATTACCCAGGTCTCTGTTCATGCATTAATTTAAACTAGTTTTCTTAAGTATTCTTGTTATTTTATATGCTCCCCATGAAACTTTGTAACTGCTGCTTGTTATAGTCTATAGAAGTACAACTTCTATCAAAAGGACTCAACAGTGTTATTTCTTTTTCTTTTTTTCTTTTCTTTTTTTAGTTTTAGGGTATCACAAACAGGAAGAATTTAACACTGGGCTCCAGGTAGACAGCCTAGCAGCCCTATCTGCACACCTCTAACATTTGCATACCTCTAGCTGCTTGAATGTGGTATTAATTCTTAGCTCTGTTACCCTCCCACGTGAGACTAGACAGACTAACCAAGGTGGATCTCATTCCTGTGACAAGGGATCATCTAGGTCAAGCTACATGATGATTAACCAATTATGTCTGCAGAGTAAAGTGTTTGGGTATTGGAGTCAAAAAGGACGTCAAGCTGGGCCTGGCAGCACTCATGTGTGCTTTTGGTCTCGGAGGGTTCAAGCAAGGGAATGAATTTAAAGGCAGCCTGGGCTTCGCACTGAGACCCTACCACAGCGCCAACAGAAAAGGAGTCCGTGGTGTCGGTCCTTTCAGCCGGTTGAAGACAGCCAAGATGCATGGTTACCTTGGGCTTCTAAACTACCTTCCTATTTCTGTAGTTTCTGCCACTGGTTTCAAGCCAAGTCACTCTTAACTCCATGCCTTACTCCCTGGGCAGAAAACATTTTGGGCATACTTAAACAACATAGAAAACAAGTACAAAACCCCTGGAGCTTTTCTTGTTTTCCCAATAAAGCACCACGTTAAGGAGTCTGGTGGAGCTTGTGATGTGGCTCCTGGGTTAGATGAAGATGTCTGCAGTATGACAAGAATTGTGCTGGTAAACACCTGACACTGGAAACTCAGAATCCAGGAGTTGGGGAACATAGAGTTTTATACAATGAATCTACATTCTCAGAGGTGGTATCTACTAGACTCAAGTCAGTATCCAGTCTCTACTAGTATATTTCCTTATTAACTTTACACATTTGTGATCTTTCCATTTTATTAGTGTCTAAAAAGAAACACAGATACACTGGTTACCACAGAAGACTCATAGAAATCACTGTCTTTGACGCCCACCAACTTCAGAGTTTTCAGAATATATACAAAACCTGAAGGGTTTGTTTTAATAGGGAGCATAGGTAGATCTATTAGGTAATAGTGTAATAGAGAGGCCTTATTGTTGCAGGAACCCCATGGTTGGCACCAGAATGGGCTATCCCCAGAACTAATGAAAACGGTGTAAATTTCCCCCACAGAAGCATCTCAGAAACAAATCTAACATTGACAGATGCTCCATGGCTGTAACGATTTGGCTATAACAGGATGTGAAGGACCAAGTCTTTTGTAAAAGATGACTGCAATAGTTTTATACTTACAAGACATATTGTGTATCCTGTTGGATATAACTACTGTCAACAGGCTGCATGCTATGACTCTCCACTTACGTGCATTGGGGCAGGAGGGAGGTGAAGTTCAGATCTGAGGAAATCAGAGGAACAGAACAAGGGTCTCCTAAAAGCTGTGATTTGTTTTCTAACTCACTGAAAACCATTTCTCACAAGAAAAATAGAAGATGGTAGTATGCAAAAATATCTCATTCTTTATTTTGAAGGATAATTGTCATTAATACAGGAAGGACTGATATTATAAAAATCAGAAAAACATTAGCATTCATTGAACCAAAATCCGAGCTCAAGGCCAATCAAGAATGCATGTTTGGTATCGTTCAGATGGAAGAAGGATGTATGCTAGTCTTCTTAAACAGCTGCTATATATAACGTAACAGAGGTGAACTCTAACAGGGCTACAGTACGCTGGCCGGTAACTTGTGGACAAACATTTGCTTCAGACAGTCAGTGTTATTCAAAGCGCAGTCTATGACACTGTAGAGCTTCAGCCAGGAGCAAGCTGAGGCTCTCTTGGTAAAATACAGTTTATTCATGCAGGTGCTGTGTAAGAGAACAAGGGAATGCCAAGAGGACATTGGCATGACTCAATATAAACCCAGTCCAATTTCAAGACAGCAATGACACGATCACAAACGGTGTTAGGAACGGGAGGTTCATGGTAATGACGCGATCACAAACGGTGTTAGGAACGGGAGGTTCGTTGTCTCTCATTTTGGATTTAGAATCTCTAAGAATATGTTAAACAAAATAAAACAAAAGAGAAAAGCCACATGGGGACCTTTTGTCCCCTTTACCCACTTAGTAGGATGGAAAAAAACAAACATAAATGGGTTGTCATTAAAGCCTTTGAATGCTACAATAAACTATTATTTGTCCCCAAACAACAAAATCATGTTTGGAGAAAAATGGAAAGATCTGGAGATCATTATGTTAAACCAAGTAAGTCAGACTCAAGAAAATAACTGAATACATTTTCTCCCATTTACAGGGTCTAGGGCAAACATCTTAAGCAGAAAGGGAGCTGTCTGGGAGGAAGAAGAGAACCAGGAGGTGGAGGAGAGGGTAGGAAGGGTGGATACATCATATAGATACATCATACACACTGAAAAAAACAAAACTCATTACCTCATACAACATACACTGATAAAAAAGAAAAAAAAACACCTATGAACTTGAATGCATTTTATGTCAAATACTTATACTAATGGTTAATAGACTACAAAACATTAAAAAAAAAAAATATAGCCCATCCCACAACTTGAAAACTCATTCCTTCTTCCTTAATGATTTCCTACAGAAATCCCTAAAAAACAGAGTAATCATTGGCACACTTGTGAATCATGAGAACATGATACTTTTTATCAAACTATAGTGGAGAAATTTCAACTGAGGCCAGGGACATTAATTCTCACCAAACATGTTTTTCAGCTCTTTGTGCTCCATGTCACATAAGCGTTATTATTATTTTAAAGAAACGAGGGCAGCTCGACTCAAGAGTTTCAGCCCCATGTCATGAAACTCCTCAAGTCTCCATGCTAGGGAAGGATCCAGTACCTAAATGCTCTACTATAAAGCAGCCTCGTTCTTAAGAGAGACAGCGTTTGCCTCTGGCTCTCACTTTTTCTTTTTAAAACGGCCTGAAGCGGCACCCTTCACCTGGCGGAGCCCCGCCCCCGCCTTTCTTCCTTTACCAGCTTTCCAGGGCACTGGGTGAGTTTTGGCCCTGGCATTTTTCCCCCTTTTATGTGGCTTCTTTTCTTTGTGCACCTTCAAGTGCTGCCTCAGATGGGAACTCTGGCTGAAGCATTTGTCACATTCCTCGCACTGGTAGGGCTTCTCTCCAGTGTGTGTTCGCTGGTGCTGAATGAGGTGCGAACTCTGGCTGAAGCACCTGCCACACTCATCACAGCGGTAAGGTTTCTCTCCGGTGTGAATCCTCTGGTGCTGGATGAGATTGGAGCTCTGCTTAAACCTCTCTCCACACTCATCACACTTATAGGGCTTTTCCCCAGTGTGGACCCGCCGATGCTGGATGAGGTTAGAACTCTGAAAGAAACTTTTCCCACAATCGGCACACTTATGGGATTTCTTCCCTGTGTGGATCTTCTTGTGCTGAAAGAGGGTGGAGCTCTGACTGAAACTCTTCGAGCATCTAGTACATTTGTAGGGCTTCTCATCCCCGTTTCTTCTCCGCCTACTTAAGCCCGAGTCGAATCGAATGGTCATCCCCCATTTCTGGCGCTGGTGGGCTGTCTTACGCTTGGTCTCATAGGCTTTGCCTTGGTTCGAGCTTCGAGAAATAGCCCCTTTAGGCTTTCCTAACTTCATGCTGAATAGCCAAATGTGTTGTCAAGAGATTCTGTTGTCTTCTGAACTAAGATCTCATATCCTAGAGGAACACAGCTCAGAATTTTCTGCATGTAGAAGAAAAAGGAAAAGACAGATCCGCTGTTACTCAACCTTAACACCTCTTTAGTCTATCCAAAATGCATCCATATTTAAATCAAAGCACACCTAATGCAAATAAAAAAATACAAGTTTAAGAGACAAATACTTGTCAGATAATTCTGACTCCACAAGTTCAACTTAAAAAATATCATTAATTTGCAATTTTACTGTGTTTGGGCTGGCAAAAGAAAGGGTAAGAAAATCATACCTGCGTTAGGGAGCAGCAACGCAGAGTATTGAAGGACTAGAAAGGAAAAACAAGACAAAGTCTCAGTGGGGATAGAAAAATAACTGCCAAAGACCATCACACTTTCTACCACAGAGTAATCTGTTTCAAGTGTTCACTCTAAATTTCTCATTTAATAGCAGTTACCTTAGATGTTCAAATTCAAAAGGAATGACAGATTACACTACATTACCATAGATTCCTATTTTTATTTGTCTGGTTATTTCTGTCGATGATTACCTAGTAAACTGTGTTGGAGATGGAAGCTACTCTGTAAAAAGAATAGAGTACTAGGTAAGAAAAATCGAAGGAGATGCCTTACTTTTCTTTCCCTGGACTGCAATAGAGCCAAGAAAGAAGACACAATTCTAACTTTTAAATTAATTTTATTTGTTTACATTTAAGGTCGTTTGGAGGGAGGCTGTTTAAAAAGTCAAAAATACCCCCCCCCACACACACACTTCCAAATGGGTGGCAATGTGGGAGAAGTCGGGGTTGCAAAGCCAAACCTTTATGGTGTCTTGGGTTAGAAAGCCTACACCTGCAAGTCGTGATTGTCTTGAGTTTCTTTGCATACAAGCATATAAAGTAAGTAAATAAAAACACAAAAGATTTTTTTTCCTTTCATTTTGTTGTATAATAACTCTCCACGTTTTAAGAGTGCACAGGACTTGTTCTGTGTGTTCAATCATTTTTATCCGCTGTAGTTGCAGCAACAAAAAAGAGCAACCTGCATCTAACACTAAGCAAGAACATTCACTGCCCATTAACTGTCTCAGTTATGTACAGACCACCTATTTCACAAGAGACTCTGTGGGGTACCTGGTACTCAATAAATAGCTATGATGCTAATCATACATTTTAAAGCACATCTCTTTTAAATTCTGAGGAAGTCACAACTGATTGGAAGCTGATGGATTATGAAATCTACCTCTGGATGAAGTAACCATTCTTGGTAGCCTGTGTGCCCTACCTTATTTTTAGGGGTTTTATGCAGCTTTATGCCGTCGTCTCCGTTTGTGGGTTTGCAAACACAGGCACAAAGCTAGTTAGCACACCCATCCCAAGCCAGGAGCCGCCGCGGGGGCCCGATTTCTCACTGGCAGTTCTGGGGGGACATCGCCCCCTCCTCCAACACCAAGTCCGGTGTTGTGAGTTCCCCAGCAGGAGAGAGGCTCGGTAAAGCTGGGCGATGGAGCCCCGGTGCCGGAAACCTGTCTAGCCGCCACGCACCTGCTTCCTCGCCGTGCATTAAGGAGAGCAACAAAGCGTCCACCGGCTCCTCTTAAGTCGCTCACAATGGCCCGGTGCAGCCTAAGAGTTCCTACAATGGAGTCTGTCTCCGCGATGAGCGGAGGCGCCGAGCCTGACGCCAGGCCGGGGCCGCTCGCCCTGGCCGCTCGCACGGCTCCGTGCCCTGCGCTGCCCCACCGGACACCCGCCCAGGCCGACCCACAGCCCAGGCGCACTCACCGCGCAGGCCGCCACGGTGCTCGCCTCCCGCCTTGCCCGCCGGAAGTGCGGGCTGTTAGTGGCGCTGCCGGCCGCTCTAGGAAGAGGCGGAGGGACCCTCTATGGCACGCACCACCGAGTTGTGCCGATTCTTCCGGTGGTCCTTTTGTATTCCTCTCCCGCCACTCCAGGACCGCCAGGCCTGTTACGGGCTCTCCGTGTAATCCGGTCGACCTACACAGAACCTGGCAGTTGTTAGGTGTTTGTTTGTATTTTCAGACCAATCTGTTCAACTTGTAAATTGCCTTCCTAGTACTGTATATCTAGTATAGAGAAATAACGTCAGCGTTATAGTCATGTTTTTCATGGGTCGCCTTTTATCACGAAAAGGCCCTGTGAAAGAGAATTTCTGGAGACACTGTCTGAAGAGGCTGATTGAGTGATTAAAACTGCAGTGATAAAGAGAGTTGGGATGTTGCAGGTCCGGAGCCTAATTACTATTTACCTTGGGCGGTGTTTAGCCCTTTACACATCTATTCCTTGCCCACCTCTGCAGATGTACGTGTAACATGCTGACAGATAGAATACCTTTGCAGTGTATTACATGAAATCCCATTTCCAGTCAAAAGGCCAAGAATGCTATCAGGTAACATCTACAGGTGAGATTGCTTCACGGGCGTAACCCATCTCTGATGTTTCCACAGATATATTTAGAAGTGTCATGACTTTCTTTGTTCTGTTACTGCAAAACCTTCATAAAACTAGTTGCAGGTTGGAATGTGAAATTTGGGTAATCTAAATGGTTGTTCCCTGGACCATGGTCACTCAGGTTTGACTCCAGGGTGAACTGTTAAAGGCCTTTGAAGTGACATCTGTGATTTTGCATCAGCCATTCCTATCAGAAGGGAACAAATACATCCAGTTTACTGGGCAGGAACCTCAACTGGGAGAGGAACTTTGCTGAAGTTCACCCTGTGAGTAACAGTCTAGTTTGGAAAGGTTCTGGTTTAACTCCTCTCCTGAGGAGTCCTTCCAGTCTGAAGATTTCGGATCCAACCCGAAAAGTTTCCAGACTCCGGAAAAGTTTCTACATCGCATAAGGCCTCTCTGCCGATGCAAGGACCCAAATCCCACCAAATCAAACAGAATTAGAAAAGGCCCGCGTTTAATGGATACAAGGTCCCCCCCCCCCAGAAAGAGACCAGAAAAACCCTGAGTCTGTTTTCTGGGGGGCAGTTTAAATACTCTGTGGGAGTGGTCTTGAGCATCTCTGGGGGAGAGATCGTAATTTGGCTTTCTGAGATGCAGCAGGGTTTGGAAGGAGATAAGGGAGGAGGGCTTGACTGGAATCTCCACCACATCCCAGACTCTTTGGGTATGTGGATGCCAGGGGTTGGGGCAAAGCTTTCACTGTCACAACTCCCTCACTGGCGACCTCACTTGGATCCTGAAAGGATCCCCAAGATCTAGTTCTCAGCACAAAGGAGATTTATTTGCCCAAGAGGGACAGAGGGAATAAGAGACAAAGACAGGAGATAGAGGACAAGGGAGAAGGGGAAGGGAACAAGGAAGAGCGGAAAGAGATTTTGTCACAGAGGGGAACAAAGGACGGCTTCTGGATAGAGAGGAGATAGGCGTGCCCCATAGGAAAATGGCAGTTTGTGAAGATAAAGGGGGAAATCCTGTGTTGGGATGAGCTGTTTAATTTTCGTTGGGCGTGTTATTTAGGTGAGCCAAAATGGGCTTTTGATTGCTGGGTTTCAATACTTTGATAGCTGGACCTTGGTAGTCAGCCTGCAGCCAAATACGGGAATATGAAGGGAGACTAGCCCATTACGGCATGGCTCTAGCAGACCTTGCCCTTCTCCCCACCCCCTCTGCCTTGCTAAAGCTAGCTACCAAGTTCTAGTCCCTTATTTGGCCACCTCCTCATTTTGTTGCCCACTATCAAAGTCTAGCTCATATATCCAGTTGGGTAACTTCTTGGGCCCCATATTTGAATGTTCAGTGGGTATGACACATCCAACACATCCACCCACAATGGTCTTCAGTCATGCTGTCATCTAAGCTACACAAGCCAACATCCTCAATGCCATTGTTGTTATATTTCTCCCCCACTCCAAGCTTACAGCCCTTCTGTTACCATCTAGGGGGCTTGATTGGATGCATTTTTTTCTCACCAATTAACAAATTAAAAGACAACAACAACAAAATCTCAGACACAACAGGAAGCAACAAAAAAGGGAAAAAAAACTTTAGTGTGTGTGAGAGAGAGGGAGAAAGACGGGGAGAGCGTGAGGGAGCAGGATAATGGAGGAGGTGTTCAGAGAGAAAGACTCTCCACAAGGTAGAAGGGAAATTCAGAAACCAAAATCTGAAGGCAGCAGGAAGTGAACTGGCTTGAGCTTCTGAGACCACGCCCTAGTGACATCCCCCCCCCCCCCCACAAATCCACACCTACTCCAACAAGGCCACACCTCTTAATGGACTAAGCATTCAAACACATGAGTCTACAGAGGCCATTTCTATTCCAACCACCACAGACCCTATGGTAGTTTGAATGTCATTGGCCCCCATAAGCTCAGTGGGAGTGGCACTATTAGGAGGTGTGGATTTATTGGAGTAGGGTGGCCTTGTTGGAGGAAGTGTGTCACTATGGGAGTGGGCTTTGATGTCTCCTATGCTCAAGGCACACCCAGTGCCTCAGACCATTTCCTGCTGCCTGCAGGAAATGATGCAGGAATCTCAGTTCCTTTGCCAGCACCATGTCTTCCTTTATTCCATATCTTACACCCTGATGATGATGGACTAAACCTCTGAAAATGTAAGCCACCCCAATTATATGTTTTTCCTTTATAAGAGTTGTCCTTGAAACAATTTAATGTATTTGCTACCCTAGAGACTATGTAAAAAGCACTCAAACTTTGGGGGAGAAACTGAAAACTGAATTTTAAAATTCCTTGTGATCCCAAATCACAAGGATGTTGCTGGTTGCTTTCCATCTTTGAGGTAGGTTGGTCATTTGGCAGCTAGGATTCTGCCCTCTAGGCTGCATGGGTTGGGTGGGTGTCCTTGGAGAACAGCTTTACTCTGAATTTAAAGCCAGTTTGTTAAACCACAGGGTGCACTCAGCATCAAACTAATGGCCATTTATATGTTCTGTCCTATTCTAAACTTTAATAAAACAAATTGTGATCCTACTAAAGCAATGTTTTTCAGCTCTGAGATAGTGGAGAGTCTGTCTCCTGTTAGACAGGTCTCAACATCTCTTTGTGATAGTTTATTTGCATATATCAGTGCCTCTGGGACAGGTGTCACAGGGTTCCCCTTGCTATGCCTGTTGATAATGGTACTTGTAATGGCACTGCTTCTAAAGGAAGCAAAACATTTTAGGTGAATTACCAGAAGTTTACAGACTCCTTACTGTTTCCTCAGTCACTCAACTTAACTAGTTCTGTGTTTAATATCTGTTTTCTTATCACTGGGATAAAGAGTGAGAATCTTTGAGAACCCTACTTTCACAGAAACTTAATTTTAAACATTATTTTGCCTAAAATTAGCATTCCAATGCTTTCTAAAAGAAATATTTTATAGACTAATTTCACAAAAAAATTCTAAATTTGTACAGAAACTTACAAAATTGGACTTATATTAGCAATTGTTTTGTAAAGAACTTAATGAATTACATGTAAATCTCTTCTGACATTTAATAAAAATTTATTTTAGCCCAAAAAAAGAAAAACAAAAAGAAAAAAAAAATAGAGTCATGGTGTCTCTTCACAGCAATAGCAACCCTAACTAAGACAGACTCTTTTACTATGTACCTGTCCTCTCTCTAGCTCCTCATCCCCTACTTCCATGGATCAACTTCTGTTGGGCCTGTCTGCACAATATGTTCAGAATCAAGCTCCTTCCAATGCTCTATTCCTACAACCTCCACAGAGCCTTGGTTCCCCAAGTCGGAATTAGTACATTTGCTTCCTGATAAGAGACCTTTCACAGTTCAGCATGAGCCTCTAAAAACTGAGTTAAATCATGGCCTTTATGTGTCCAAAACATTCCAAAGTCTTCCCATCTCCAAAAAGAAGCTGAGGACCTGATTGTGGCACACAGAGTCATATGTGGTGTGTAGTATTGTTTGTATTCATCCACACCGCTAAGAATTGTGCTCAGCAAGCAGTGGGTTTGCAATACACATTTGTCCCATGAGGGAGCCAGGAGGATGCTTCTTTGCATACAAAATGCATTATGTCAATTCTTTTGTCGTTCATCTTCTATCTACAGTTCCACAAAGCTGGGATCACCAAGTCCGTCATGGCAGAGAGCTTAATGAAAGCCAGACAGTTGCTTCAATTCTTATCTCTGGCTAAGGAGATCTTGCCAGCAGGAGGAGCTGCTTTTGCAGATGACTGACAGCTGAGCTTAGTGATGTATGCATCAAGGGCATCAACCCAATAATCCAGACACTACCTGGATTTTCTTAAAGGTGATATGAAATGTATGTGGCTTTGTCTTCATTAGTTTTAATTGTCAAGTTGACACAGTTTAGAGTCATCTGATAGGAAAGATTTGACTGTGGAATTTACATCAGATCGGCCTGTGGGCATGTCTGTGGGGAACTGCCTTGATTATTAGTCAATGTAGAAGACAGCTGGCTGTGAGTAGCACCATTCCCTGGGCAATGCTCTTGAGCTATATAAGAAAGCTAGCTAAGAATAGGCCTGCGAGAGAGCCAGGAGACAGCATTCCTCCATGGCTTCACGTTCCTGCCCTGACTTCCCTCCATGATGGACTGTGTCCTGCTAAGTTGTTTGCAGTTATGAAACAGGGTCAGCAACAGATCATAAGAAACATGATTTGTTGTTGATTTTATTACTAAATTGTTGTTACATGTCCTTGGTGCTGGTGGTGAGAGGGGCAACAGCTGTGGGTGATGATGAGATAGGAAAAAAAATCAAGAGCAAAAATACACTGGAACTACCAGTCATGAATTATAATTCTTTTGATGCCTAACTTAAAGGTAGATTATTCTTTTTCCTGCATAGAAAAACAGCTGGACCAGCTCCAGAAGGCCTAAAGGTATTCAGATTAGGGAGTTAGTCAAAGGATGATGGATTTTTGAAAGGAGAAAAATGTCAGGAATGACAAGAACAAAGCCAGTGCAAGTTGGTAGAATGGGAGGTAAGCAAGGAGAGAGACCCTGGCCAGGAAGAGACATGGGAAAAGGGAAAAGATGAATAGAGCTTGAACAATCAAGGTTCCATCCCCTAAGTCATGTGTTAGTGTAATAATAGTTTATTGTGTGCTACAGCATGAGGAACTATATTAAATGGTCACAGTGTTAGGAAGTCTGAGAACCTAGTGAGGGGTGTGTACATCTGCAGATAAGGACTTTGTGAGGGGACTCACCCTGGCCAAGAGCAAGAATGGGTGTAATGTACACAGTGGCCCAGAAGCACCCTTGAGACACATGCTCTGCAGTCACTCTGATCTTTCCCTCTGCTTCCATAATTACATGGCCCAAGGAGCTTGGGACACAGAATGAGAACACATGTGAAAGTGAGCCACATGAACATATCATGGCCACTGTATAGTCTCGAAACTGTGCTGCTGAGACTTCTGGCATTGTTTGTTACTGCAGTAAAGCTATGACCCTCATCACCCTCAAGATAAGAGCCATTAATACCCACAGTTTACTGACGAGGAAAGTGAGGCAAGTATCATGTATAGTATGGGATCTAGTTCGACATGACCATATCCATGTAATCCATGAACACCATGTTGCCTACCAGCTGACTTAGGCTTATATCACCAGCCCTGTAAGACAAACAAAGCCGATAAGATGTTCAAGCATTCTGCATTTGTTGTGGGATAATCTTTTTGCTAAGGCAGCTTCTCAGCTTCTGATTGGTTTAATAGAGAGCTGAATGGCCAATAGATAGGCAGGAGGAGGGTAGGCGGGACTTCTGGGCAGAGAGAGAGAACATGAGATGATGGACAGGAAACAGAACATACAAGATAGAAGAGAGGTTAAAAAGCCATGAGCAAAACATAGATTAATATAAATGGGTTAGTTTAAGTTATAAGAGCTAGTAGGACAGGCCTTAGCTATAGGCTGAGCTTTCATAATTAATAATGTCTCTGTGGGTTTTTTTTTTTGTGTGTGTGTGTGTGTGTGTGTGAGTTGGTGGCATACAGAAAAATTCAGATGAATTTTCTACATGCGTTGGTCACCCATTAATTTCTTAGCTGACACTGGACATGTCAACAGCTTTGGAGAAGGACCTGGTATAAACGGGCTAGCTGCACCCATGCCTGTCTGGAGTAGTGTATAAACTTCTATCTACTACTTGAGATAGGAGGATCCTTCCACCTTGCTGCTGCTCAAGTCACGCAAGCCTGTAAATCTGTGACAAAGTCGCACTCTCTACTCCAGGGTCTACTGTACCTTTCTGTAGTTTCATGACACCTTCTGCTGTTGGCTCCAGTTAATGTGTGAGGACCAGATTCTGGGAAACACCCGAATGTATGCACCTACAGAGTCAAGCTTTGGAGTCATGTCATGTTTAAGTAAATTAAATTATGAAGAGCAGTGGCATGTGGTATTTCGACAAAAGGGAAAGGGGACAAAGGGTAAGAGGAGAGGCCACAGCCCTGGCACTTGGCAGATCTTTCTGGGGGTCTTAGTGAGAGAAGATGGACTCTGTCAGGGGCTGTAGCTTCTCTGGAGAGCCAACCCACAGGGGCCACTCATCCAGAGTGGGCTGGATATTTGAAGGGTTCATTGTAGAACAAAACAATCTAGAACAGCAACAACAACAGAAGCTGAGAAACAGCCTATCTAGCAAGACAATGTTCCTTTCCTGTGGTTTTGTTCTTTCACACATGTGTGTTCATGCACACACAGATGCACATGCATACACATAAATGAGCACTGTATCCGTGGGGATGCTGCTGTCATTGCTAGGAATGACCCACAGTTCAGGTGCAGCGGGGTTGGTCATGGGTGGCCTCAGTATAGGAGCAAGTGTCTGTTTATCCCAAAGTGGGTCTTTCCGCACAGGACTCTGAACAATAGCTCTGTCAGATAAGCCGGGTGTTGTTTTGTTTCCTTTGGACTGGATAGAAAAGGATACGCTGGAATTCCCCACTCCCCAACCTGCAGAAAACCTGTTTCAGCCCTGCTGGCACAAGACACCCCCGACCCTGGGCTCTGTGAGGTTCCCAGCATGTCAACAGCTGGCTAATACCCAAGTGCGGTTCTTGGGGCTTAAATATAGCACCTGGGTGTTTTTATGCTTGCTATTTCTTGGCTATGACCTGCCAGGCTTGATGAGTGCCAGAGTCTCTAAAGACCTGGCAGTCACACTGCCCCTGATAAGGATAGCCCATGGCCTGCCCTAGCTGCAGCTGGGCCTCACAGCACAGCTGGCATATCTCCAATTCCTACCAAATCACCTGGGCAGACTACATGAGCCCCTTCCCCTTTCCCCAGGACGAAGGAGCCAGATGTATCCTGGGAGAAAGGCTTTGCTTTGTCACCAAGAAAGTCTAAAGGTTATCGCTTCAGAAAAACAAGTCTCTCCACACCCCTACCCCACCTCCCTCTTGTTCCCATCTGTTTGGTCATTTGTTCTGGACAGACAATCCTGTTTGTCCTGAGCTTAGAACTTTTGCAATCATGTAACCATGCACATTTCACCCTGTACTGTTTTTATTCTGAGCTCTGAAGACAAACCTAACTTGGAAGACAGCACTTTCTTGGTGGGATCTTCACTTTGTCTCCAGATACCTTTTCTGTCTGAGATAAGGAGGAATGCAGGAGAAAGGCTGTGGACTCCGTAGCAGACTGTAGCCCTAATGCACTGTGAAACCACAGCCTCTGCAGCCTCAAGTTCTCCAGTCGCTATGCTCTGCAATGGCGAGTTGGTCTAACATCTGTGAATGCTTCACAGGGTGCAGCGGAAGACAGTTCTCCTTGCCTTTGCTAGAATTTCTCCTGTGTTATTCAGAAATAAGTTTTGATAATATTTCAAAAGTAACACATCTAAGGGAGCCTTAAATAATATTTGGACAGCTGTGAAATGCCATGTTGGCTGCTGCTCCCAGGGTTTCCTGTTTGCAGTGGCTTCCCCAGCTCTGAATCCCTGTCCTGCCCTAGTCCTTCAGCAGCACTCAGTCTTAGCTATCTGCTCTATATCTGGCCTCCTTCTCAGGTACTTAACTGTTTCTCAGAGTCTGACTGCTTCTCCGGAAGAGGAATCACCATGGCTCTATCTTTGTTCCTCCAGGATCCAGTACAGGCCTGGCATAACACAGTCAAGTTGGTTAATTACTTCTGAACAAGGGACAGGCAGAATTTCCTAGACCCGAGACTATAAATTCAGGCAGCAAAATCACCTGGGATTCCTGCTGTATTCATTTTCTTGACTCATGAGCCCCTGTTGGAAGATTCCTGGTTCACGTCTGATGCTAAAATTCTGCAATGCAGGGTGATTCTCTTGCTCAGGCTACCCACCCACCATCGTCAGTCGCCAGTTAGTCCTTTCCTGTGTACTAAGGTAGGGCAGCCTCGCCTCAGGCCTTACACCAGTCCTCAGGCCATTCATGAAGTGAAGGAGTCCTGTCAATGTCAAGGGGCTTATGGTTTCTCTGCCAACTGCAGCTCTTCATAGTGTGGTATAAAAGTGTCAGGGGTTAGGAGAGTGGGCCAAGGCAATAAACACAAAAGGAAAAAGCACAAGCAAGCTTGGCCCTTGCAGCTTCTGTTCAACACAAATGATCTTTACTAAGCACCTAAGAGAGTACAGTGTCAAAAGGGAGAGAGGAGGCAGGAGTGTGTCTCCATAAAGACAGGGCTGGGTCTGGGAAATCCAGTTGTGACATCTGCCCTGCCCAGGGGTTCAGCTCTGCACAGCTGTTCTCAAGCTCCACTCTTCAGGGTTCCATGAGCAGCTCCCATATGCACTGCATTGAAGATGGAGCTCCATCTTTTCAGGCCTTCATCATACTCCTCTTTAACTACATTGTCCATAGGCCTCAGGGGCAGAAGCTGGCCTTTAGGTTGCTCTGTTAGACAAACACTTCCATGACTGATGTTGCATAGTTTTACAAATGAAGTTTTCTCATTCATTCCAGAAATTTCCATCAGTCAGCAAACATATTGTTCTGCATCTAGCCTGGGGAATTAGAAGCCTTTTGTCCCCAAACAGACATTTTCCCTTATTGCTAGGCTTTGATGGGAAGTACTGAAAGCTGTTCCTACTCACTATCTAGAAGCTCAGTTCCAAAGAAGGCAAGAGGCATACAGCCATCCACAAGATGGCGAAGAATGAGACTGAGAACCGCCTTCTGGAGCCACTGCCAGCCAGTATTGTTTCAATGCTACACGGATCAACTCCGCAACATGATTGGTTCAACTGACATATTTCTTGAAGACAGCTCCTTTCAAGGATTTCTTTGGATCACACTCCGAAGCCAGGGCTGACTTGTGCCAAGAGCTGATGGGATCTTGATAGTCCTCCTCCTGATCTAACCTCTAGGCCAGGACCGTTGGCTACGAAAGGAGGCTCAGGGGCCAGGATACCATAGTGAAGCGTTGGTTAGACTCAGGACATGCCTCACAGCTGTTGGCAGCTCCTGTTCCAGCAGAGTTCCTGAGTGGCCTTAAGGAGTAAGGGAAGATGGGGGCTTCATGGTTCACATGGATGATAAGGGTGGGGACTTTTGGCCATGCAGAAACTCTGGATAAGCACTGGGCAAGCAGATGAAGCCCATTCTCCAGTGGCTGGGTGTAATACTTCCCTCTTAAGCTGAAAATATGCATGAACAAGGCTGGACATGCTATTCAACCATGCACTGTGGCTGGTGTCTCAGTTCCAAGGCTCTTTACTATCTAGAATGGCCTTGCACATTATTCCTAGCTATCAAGTTCCTGGGTGTCCCCATGCATGCTCATAAGACTAGAGACACAGGATGCTATGTGGTCTGTGGACAGGTTAGAAGAAGCATAGGTACTGGGCTCCTTGAGCAGCAGCCATTGGTCAGTAATCAGTTAGGGCTGGGTCCCTGAATCTCCATGCACACTTGGTATCACAGGCATCCCCAAAGGCAAGCACTGGCTAGTTACTTGGCCTCCACCAGCTGCTCCAGGCGCTGCAGGATTGTCAGACGTAAGGCTTGGAACCTGGGGAGAGACAAAAGCCAAGGGGTCTCACTTAAGCTGGAGTGTCAGGGAGGGTGAGAACAGTGAGAGTTGGGACTACGACTCTTAGCTGGCCGGCCAGAAACTGTCATCTCTGTCCTTCACCAAGAATGCCGAACAGAACTGCAGACTGTGCAGGGCCTTAAAGACAAATGCTGGCAATTCCATTCCAGATACTCTACTAGGACGGGTGTGCTGGGATGCTGATCAGGGCTCTAGATCAGGTTTCAAAAAGACAGTGTCCCAGCCAGGGCCATTCAAATAACTTGTGCTGTATCCTTGGTCCGGGCCCCAGATTGCTCTTCCCACAATGAATCCACTGGCCAGATGATTCCCAGGTCCTGTCCATCTTTAAAACCCTACAGTGACATCACCAATGGGCCTCTCACTCTCCAGTCTTCACTGACTCTGAGTGAGGTCGAACTGCACAGAAGGAAGCCCGTGGGTAGATGTGGCTTTCCAGGGATCATTAGTGGGAAGCCAGAATCCAAACCATTCCCTACTCGAGGGCATGTCCCAGAGCCGCATGCCCTTCCCTGCCCAGACCTTGTAAATGTTCTTCACACACCCTGCCCTGTGCCACACATCTCTGAGGCACAAACAGATCGTTAGCATCATTAATGTAACAGCCTGTCCTTCACTGTTGACCCTTGGTCTACCAAACAGCAGCCAGAGATTGAATGTCAATAATCACTGCTTCCCACTGGGTAGAGACTTCCTGCTAGCACAATAGCCTTGGACTAGGCTGAGGTTCTACCCAGCAGACTCAATGTGGTTGCTTTTCCAGAACCTGATCACTAGTAGAACTAGAAAGCCAACCCAGGCCCACCAACTCCTGCCTCTGCCTTTCCTGTCCAGTTTCTTACAGCTCAAGTTCCTCGCTGGAGAAGAGGCCCAGGCTGAATGGGTGTATCATCTAATTCAGAAGGTTACCACCCCAGTACTGAATGCTATGAGTAGGTGGGTAGGAGGCAGTTCTGGGAAGCATGGTCAGTAGGTCTCCCCACTGCCCTTGGTGTCCACAGAAGGGAGAAACCTGCCTTCTTGGACAGAGGTATGCCCTGCAGATGTCCTCTAATGGCCAGGACCATGTCTGGCTGATGAAGATCTGCTTACTTCATGGTCAGTTTGATTATTTCTCTTTCCTCCTCTTCTTTTAATTTTTCAACAAAACTGTCCAGCACTGGCATTTCGAACTTAATGTACTGGGCCACCTAGAAAATCCAAGAACATTAAAACTTGCTTTAGTTGAGAAGTCTAAGATGTGTTTTCTCATCCTGGTGTTTACATAGTGGTCAAAGCCAAAGTCCTGTACCCGCAGCAGTCCCTTCCCAGCCTCTGCTGGCATTGCTCTGCTGTGTGGTGGGAGAACGGGAGCTGCTCTTATCTCAAAGGCAATGATCATCCATTGGAGGAAACGCTGGACTGAATATTAGGAAAAGCATTCAGTCCTGTGGCATTGTCACACTGAGTGTTCTTGGCATGGGTGGGGAGTGGGAACATCATTGTTCTTAACAATGGAATGCAGCTTTACCAGCCCTGGGAAGCTGAAGGAGACAGCCACAAGGCTTGGGGACCCATACTCCACAGGCCCTTTTGTGTAGGGTCTGGACATAGGCTTATAGCTTGACCATTGAGATTTAATGCCTGTTGCCCTTGAATTGGTCTAGCTGAGGAGTCTTCTGTGGGTCTCTAATGTGATAACAACAAAAGCATACCACAATGAAGGAAAGGGCCTTTACTTATGGGGAAAAGGGCAGGGCTGAGGTCTTCCAGGACCCCAGTTCTTCTGTCCCCTAAGCTGACAGGTCAGGTGTGGAAATCTAAGATACATTGCCTGGGAGGACTCTGGCCAAGAGCTTCTTCAGGGCCCTAAGGGGCCCCTCTTTGCCTCCCAGTCCCTCCCCATGGAGCAGGCTTTCAGCTTCAGCTCCACTTACATCATGGGGTACTTCCTCGCTCAAGTCAGCTTCCATCAAGAAGATCTTGACAATTTTCTCACAAGGCCCATTCAGGATTCTGGATATCAGCGGGTACTCACAATCTTTTAATTTTGTCTGCTCTGAAATAGAGGGCATTTTACAAAATTCATGGGATGTTAGGTTCAGCCACCCCTTGTTTATTTATTTTACCAGGACAAGGGCATGATAAAAAGCAGATGTTCAGGGAATCTTTCTCAGACCTCTGTGGGTCTGTATCTTGGGAGACACGTGATCCCTCTGAAGAGTAGAAGAACTGGCCAACCTAGGTCAGCTACCTGGGCTCAGGATTGTGGCAGCAGAAGTGAAAAGAACCAGATGCCTTCCTTCATTTGTCTGACAGCAAGACATAAATCTATTGAAGCCTTTCATCTACTTCCTACCAAGGACAGAAGTTAATCACCAGACACAACTCTAGAACCCTGTTAGCCCAGAGGCAGCAACAGAGAAATCCACATAGTGAATGCTGTCTTCATCTTCCATATACTTGGCCTTCACCTTGTTCCCCATCCTGGTTCAAAGTCCCGCCTACCCCTCTTCATCTTCTCATTTCTCTAAAAGCTGATTTCCTTGCTATGGCAAAAAAGTTCTGGGCATCCCTTTGAGAAATTCATCTCTCTCATGGCTATATGTGATGACCCATAAACAAATCAGTTTGTTTTCCTCTTGTAAACCTGCACTTGGTTCACGTACTTTGCAGGCCCATCTAGTGAGGGTAAACATAGGGAAAATAATTTTCTTGTCCTATAGTATTACTTAATAAAGACTCAGATCAGAGAGAATAGGGACAGAGTAGGCAGAGTGGACCACAGACTTGGGGATGCTGGAGCTGCTCAGTGACAAGAGGCTGCCGATGGACTGCAGAGGGACCCAGAGGTGCCACAGGAGCCGATCCAGGCTTCAGCCACTGGCACACAGCCCTACTGAGCTACACAATGGTCCACTAATGGAAAGAGCCCGGAGAGGGTTCATCTACGCTGCTTTAGAGGAAGCCTCAGAATGGAGCAGAGTCTAATGGTGGAAAGGAGGGTGTGAGAAGAAGACGGCAAGCTTACCAAATGAACACCGGAAGATAGCACTTACCCCCAGACTCATGGACAATGTACAGTGCGAACTCACTGGGGCCATCTTCTACCTGTCCAGGCCAGCACGAGAAGTCAGACCACATTTTTAATGAAAGAGAACAGAGCACCCCATACCCTTCCTTGCCTAAAATCTCAGCGACACTGGCTCATCAGAGGAAATCGTGCTAGACTTTCCCCAAGAGCCAAGGCAGCAGCTAATGGCAGCAACCCCACTCCTCCCACCACTCATGGAAGCGCTTCCTGCTTCCTGGCAAGCCTGCTCCCCTGTGGTCACACTTACCCGGAACTTGTTGAGCAGCAGGGTAAGCACCTGCTGGGTGGTCATGGTGCTATTAACCCGGACATTGGTCACGGACCCGTAGGCAGGAGTGAACACAGAGGTCTGTGTAGGACAGATGGATAGCTTAAGGTGGGCCCAGAGGAGACACAGTCTACATTAAAGTTCTAAGCAAACCCACGCAATGGGATGGGGAGGGGAGCTCCTTCTCAGAACACCTGTCCCTGTCCATTCATGCAGGGGACATCCAGGGAGCAATTATATATGTGTCCTCAGAGCACTCTGAAGAAGATGCCTCACACTCTACACACCCATCAATAGCAGCGCTCTGAATCTTGGGAACCAGGACCCCAGAAGTAGTCCACTGGGGTATGACATGGGGCTCTCCTTCATTCTCACTGTTTGCATCAGCATCACAAACATCCATGAATGTAGGCTGAAAGCTTCCACATCTACCTGCTCGTCCCCACGTGCTGTCCAAGCAGAGGCCTCCAGTCACACTGTGCAGTTTGCCAACAGGCCCCTCCTTCTCACCTTCTAGCATCTTCTCCATACTGCTGCCCATGGTACCACCATTTAAAATACCCCGAATAACCAAGTGTGGTCTGGCCCAGCCTCCTGAAATTCTACCTTGGTCTTCCTACATCTTTCACTCCAAAAGAGACCCACTGGTTCAGAAATTATCTCTGGAGAAGAATTCCAGGCCTGTAACCTGTGTCGTACAATGACAGAATCCCCATTTTATAAAATGTGTGAAGGCTTCCCATGGCCTGTATGCCTCAAGCATCAACTCTCACTCAGACACAGATGATGCCAAGACCCCACCACTACCATAAGCACCCTGTGCTCCAGCTACATGACTCTCTTTATAGTTCTTTATGTAAGTATCTGTACCTACTTTTTGAGACAGGTTCTGACTATATAGACCAGGCTGGCTTGGAACCCAAGACATTTTTGCCTTAGCCTCCTGAGGGTCAAGATCACAAGTGAGTATTGCCATGCTAAGCAGATAATGTTTATTCTTCTGTGGTCCTGGGAATTGAACCCGGGGCCTTGCACATGCTAAGATACAAGTACTCTGCCCCTCTGAAGCGCATCCCCAGCACTCTTTTTTATTTTAATTTATTCTTAGGTAAGGTCTCACTCTGAGGCCCTGAACCAGTTACACAGCTCAAGCTAGCCTCAAAACAGGATTACAGTACCTTATCACCATGCCTGGTTTATTTACAGTTATTTTGCATGAGAGGCATGTTAGACTTTTGCCAATATCTTGTCTTTTCCTGTAACACATCTATACAGATAGACCCTAGTTTATGATGGTATGACTCATACACTTTTGACTTTAAAGATGGAGCAAGAAATATAAACATTCATGAAAGCACTTCTTAAATTTAAAATTTCAATCCTCCCATTCCACCGCAAGCATTGTGGAGTATAATGACACTCTCAACCACTGGGCAGCAACAGTGTCTACAACTCCCAACTGGCCACCTAAGCATGTGAAAAAGGAACCCACATTCTGCAGGGGACTGTGCTTCTGAGCCATGATGTACTGAGGCTTGGGAACTAGATCCATTTTGACCTCATGCTTCCAACTTATGATGAGCTTATCAGGACACAACCTGACTGTAAGTCAAGATCTTCTGTGTAGGAAATTAACCAGGACACCATCTGAGGCTCAGGAAGCCCTATAAACACAGCCACCACACATTGAACTTGTGGAACATCTTACAAACACTCTTCATTCTCACAACAACCCTCTGAAGTACCATCAATGATTCCTGTTTTCTGAGAAAGGAAGGCTAGGGTTGGGAGGTTAAATACCCAGTCACGGTCACCCATCTGGAAAGGACAACACCATGATGAAGGATTCTGCAATGCTTGAAGCTTCATGTGCTACCTACCCTGTTAATGCTGGTGCCTCCCAGCAAAACTGCAGTGGGTCTGCTAAGACTAGCTGAAACCTAGAAGCACTCCAGGTTATAGATTCTACAGAAAATGGCCTGTCGTGCAGTGCTTCTCAACCTTTCTAACGCTATATGACCTTTGAATACAGTTCCTTGTGTTGTGGTGACCCCCCAACCATAAAATTATATTTGTTGCTATTTCGTAACTGTAATTTTGTTATTGTTATGAATCATAATGCAAATATCTGTGTTTTCCAATGGTCTTACGTGACTCCTGTGAAAGTTATTCGACCCCCAACCAAAGGGTTGTGACCCACTGATTGAGAACCGCTGCTTTAGTGCCTAAGAAACACGGAAAGTTCATTCAACTACTTCAAGGGGAAGAAAAGTCTTGTCAACAAGGCTGTGTTTGTTCTGTGTAAAGCCTGAACATGAACTCAGCCAACCAAGTGGATCACATCTGAATCCACATAGCAGGGCAAAGCAATTGAATACCTATGATTCAATGAGTCTGGGAATAAAATTCATGTTGTCAGTCATAATGGTGTGGGGACATGATAGAGTGAAGTACTAGTACACAGTCCTCAGAAAGGCAACCCAGAACAAGTACCCCAGAAAATCAGTTTTGGGGATTAGTAGTTTTCATCATTGTCTGTGGCTTAAGGAATCTGTGCCCCGATTTCTAAGAACATCAATTGTGTATAGAGGTAAGAGAAGGTGAAAAACTGTCCTTTTGTTTTGGTTAAAGACTGTCTGTAGTCTATGCTTCCTTCCTATGAATCACCCTTTGAGACGCACAACTGCTTCAACTGGAAGTCTCCATCTTTGTCCCCTGCATTGCAGGATACGGCCTGTCACAGTACACTCCAGGCGGGGCCTCACTCAGACAGCCACTCATTCCATTTTTAGTAACAATCAGCTTTTCCTTTTATAGTTCATGTGTTAATGGAATGATGTAATTAGGGGAAGGTGATCTTTTCCTCAGGTCAGTACAATGCATACTTGTACAAAAGAAGAACTACTGGGAACTCAGAGATCCCCAGGTTCTCTGGGAAAAGACACGCATGCTCTGGTCACACCTCAGCAAGCCAGCTTAATTTCCCAGATAGAGGGGCTGCTGGGTACATGATGTCTCGTGGAATGATCAAGTGACCCTGAGTGGAACCCTCACAGAATGGTGTCATTAAAGACAAACTTGGCATTATTGTCTGCTTAGGGCTTCCTTGTCCCAAAGCTACAGAAGTTAGAGAACTTAGATGGTAGCTGTATGGGGAGCCCTGGCTGTGGGTGGGAATGCTATGCTGTTGTGGTTTTGGGTCACCTTCTCGAGCTTTCCCACAGGCCAACAACAGTTGTCTTGAAGGCAATTGGAGTATCGGGACTAATGCTGAATGTTATGGGGGCTGCTCTTCTGTGCTAGGAAATAATTCCTGCTCTCTCAGCTTCAGGGCCCAGGAAAGAACAGATAGAGACATCACCTTGTGGTTATAAAAGTGCCCATTGATGGAGTACCGGTGCCGTCGTATCTTCTGGGCTTCACCCGGTGCCCGGGGCCTGGGCCTCCGCTGGATTATACAGCTGGCATCACTCTTTGTCCGCATGAGCTGGGGGACATCCTCTTCCTCCTCCAGGGGTCCTGCAGAAAGAAATAGACAAAAAAGTGGGAAGGTGGAGGGCGGTGGTAGCAAGTGTGATGGCTCCAGCAGACACTGTCTGTTGGGTTTTGTGGCTCCCTGAAATCCTGTAGTCACAGCACACTGTAGTGCATTGTTCTGGTAAAGCTGATCTTTGGTTGGAAGATGGGGCAGGGGTTCAGTCAGTACACAGTGCATCTCATGGTACCCACTGAGGTCACTCTAGCCCTCAGTCAGGGACAGGTCCTTCTCTATGTGCTAAGGAAAGGGGACAGAGAGCACAGATGAATGATCATGATCTTAGAACATGAGGATGAGGTCCTACAGCCTTGGAACAAAGGGGAACAGAACCCACCATTGAGCCTCTTACTTTTTATAACACAGCCCATTGCAGGAGACTCAGGCCAAGGATACAAGGTGACACTTCTACAAGCCTCTGCTTCCTTTCCCATAAAAGGAATGAAGACCAGTGTGGCACCTGTCTCCTACTGTACTTATGCTTAGCAAGGGTCTCTCATGAGACAGCACGACAATTCTTCCACATGGCTGCATGCATCCCCAAGACAGGCTGGGGTTCTCTAAGCTTTGCTTACCTGAGCTATCCCTGGAAATCTCAGCAGGCTGAGCACTAGGCTTCTCCATAGTGACTTTGCTGTCCTGAGTTGAAGCGTCCTTTCTGAAAAGAGAGAAGTACAGCTCCCAAGTGGCTGTGGACAGGGAAGAGCTGTGTGGAGCAGCCGAGGCTGAGTGGTTAACTTGTATCAGTATAATAGAAAGCTCCCACAGCATCTATTGGAAGGAGTGGGAGTCCCATCCTTAGAAAGGGTAACTGTTCTGGGCTGAGTCATAGAGCCCATGCATTAGGATGCAGGCTCAGCCAGGTTAGTGTTTGTAGCTGGGTACCAAAAGAGCTTGCTGGGTTTGTTGAGTGTGTTTCAGGCCTGAGGGTTAACCCTGAGGATCAAATCTCCAGGCCCCTTGGGAAGGACTGATTCTCACCCAAGCCAAAAATGGTAGCATCAAGCTAGAGAAGGAACAGTGTAATGAGAGGTAGGTAGCATTCAAGTGGAAAGAATGAGAACCGAGAACTCTAGATGACCTGGGCTGTGGGCAGGATTGCTAACATGGCTGCTTTTACTGGGGGGGGGGGGGGGTGAGTCACTCTGGCAGCCATTCCAAGGAGCCTGCATGCTTTAAGTTTATGTGGCTCAGCATTTTGTACCAGTGACCAGGGATATCTGGTGAAAAGAGCTGGTGTGTCTGCATTCTCCATGCTCCCAGAGTACTCATTTTATCTGCATCTATTATCTTGTAAGATTCATTGATTGACTGATTGATTTAATGTGCATGTGTGTTAGGCTATGTGAGTCTGTATACAAAACATGTTGCAAGAAGCTCATGGAGGCCAGATAGGGCATGTATCCCCTGCAATTGGAGTTATAGGCAGCTTTGAACGGCCACATGCATGCTGGAAACTTAACCCAGCAATTACTACTGAGCCACCTCTCCAGCTCCTTCAGACAGTGTTTTTAAGGTAGTGTCTCAGCGTGTAGCCTGAGTTCAGACTCACGATCTCCCTGCCTCAGTTTACTGAGTGCTATAATCTCAGACACACCTATGTCACCACACCTTTCTTACCTGCATATTTAACAGGAACAAGATTCTGAACGTTTGCCTCTGAAAAGTCATTACACGAAGAAGCAAAGCCCAGCCTACCTAATTGCCTTTCCCCTGGCGGTAAAATAAATCTAGGCTGTCACTGACAGGAGTAGCAGGAAGATAAATCTGTGTGGATGCCTGACGTTCCCTTCTGAGGCGATCCCACTGGGCTGAGGACATAGCTCATTGGTATAGTACTTAGCCCCGAGTTCAGTCCACAGCACATGTGTAAAACATTTGTTGGGAGCATGACTATTCTGGAGGAGGGAAGAACTGTGACATAATCATCAACAGGGAGGGCACCCCTGGGTGGGACTGCGTGTTGGGGTGGACAAGGTTAGAAAGGACTGAGGTAGTCACTGAATATGAGAGGGTGACTGATCTGTGCTCTTGCGCCTAAGCCCCATACAGCACAGTGGGGCATCTGTTCTCCAAGGCTGAGAATACTCCACATAAAAGCTATGCGGCACTCATGATCATGGATGTCATGGAGGTCCCTGGCTCTGCCCCACGTGCCAGGCACTCACTGGAGGTAGCTGGACTGTTCAGGCATCCATGAGGGGGACGGCAGGTGCACTCTCTCACGATCATCTTGCATCTGGAGCCGGATGGGTCGTCTGAGTCCCCAGGAGATGTTGAGGAGTCCTTCGATGATCAGAGCCCCTTCTTCCTGTAAAGCCCACACGGGTCAGCCTCTTCACAAGCAGCAGCTGCCCTAAAGGTGACCCTTCAGAAACAGGAGGCTCAGCCTGCCCCACCCACCCCCAGGGATGAGCAAGCCGTGTGCACATGCTTCAGTGCATGAGTGCAGGGGCCCGCAGGAGGAAGCAGGAGTTGTTCTTTCCGCTGCTGAGCCCAGGCAGAGCGGGAGGCAGCACGAAGCTGCTGAGTCAGGAGTCCCCCAGGACACGGCAAGTGTCTGGCAGGCACGTCCACACTGCCGGGAGGAAGCAGAAAGAGCCCAGCCCAGGGAAGCATGGCCTGGCCACTTGTGCTGGGCGAAGCTCCTTGGCTCACACTGCACCGGGACGGAGAATCCCACAGTCACCAGGTTCTACTGGACTTCGTGCCCCCTGTGTGCCCTGCCTTGTCCTTCTGTCCATCCCGACATCCCGACAGCAGCAGCACCAATGGGTCTGGCTTGAGCTCACTCCCAGTTACACTGACTTTTTTTTTTTTTTTTTTTGGCTGCTGGTGGGTGCATGCATGGGGTACACAGGCAGGGAACAACACTCATACACATAGAATAAAATACATAATTATAAAAATGCTTTAATATTCAGGCAAGTAAGAAAGCAATGATCAAAAACAGGCTTAGATGTGAAACTCAACTCCCATAAGATAAGGCTCGCTGGCGTCGATCTACAGTTTAAAATGTCTCTAAGGGAAGTAAGAAAAGCCCGCAGCACACTTGGAAATTCTCAGTTCGCAGCTATCCATGGAGACCCCACCATCCTTAGTCCCACCCACGGCTCAGAGAATTGAGAGATAACGAAGCCATGGCTTCACTATGAGTGGCTCACAAATGAATGTAGAGGAGGGCTGGGGGGGGGCACCTGAAAATGCACTGGGCCCTGGATGGTAGTTAATGGGGATGTGATTGGGTAAACAGATGCCCCAAACAGCAGGGCTAGCCTTGGCAAAAGAAGAGGCAAGATGGCAGCCTGAAGACTGCTCGTGGGTGCAGGGAGCGCGCAATTAGCCAGCACCTGCTGATGAAGTCTTTGATGGAATCAAACGAAAGCTGAGGCCAGGACAGAGCTGCCAGGATACAGTACACTGGTGAGGGCTGCTGCCCCTGTGGTAAAGACACCCAAGAGAGGCCTGAACTGAGCAGTGAACTCTTCCTCTCTTCTTTAGTTTGCTTGGTTTTATTTTTGTTTTTTGGAACAGGGTTTCTCTGTGTGGCTTTGAAGCCTGTCCTGGAACTCACTCTGTAGACCAGACTGGCCTCGATCTAATGGAGATCTGGAGATCTGTTTGCCTCTGCGTCCGTCTGGAGTGCTAGGATTAAAGGTGTGCACCACCGTGCAGCGGACTCAACTAATCAGCCATCTGCTAATAAATTCTAAGAGCCAGAGAAACAGACACAAGTCCCACGGAGTCCTTCAGCTGTAAGCTGGGAGTGCCACCTGACGTAAATGATGTTGGTAGCTCCGTGTCCACATCTTTCCCTCGGCATTAACGCCAACCCTAGAAACCATGGACAAGGGACCAGCAGTTCTCCATGCTGCCAGAGTATAGGGTCTGCCCAGCCCTCACATATCCGACCTGAGCAGTACTGTCCCCTGTGACTCCCCTTCTTCCCGCTCCCGAGGGCAGAAGACAGATGTGTTCCAGGCAAGTAGAGGTACAGAGGCCTGAGACGCGGACTGCGGGATCCTTACCAGGAACTTTCCCAGGGTTGGCCACTTTGACTTCCCCTGCTGCTGCTGCTATGTTGTTGACATCCCTGGAGTCCCCTGGTTCCCGGAGCCACTGACATTAGCCTGCGCATGGCCGCTGGCAGAAGCTACACTGCTGCCCTGTATGTAAACGTGCAGTGCCCTGCCATTGCTTTGCTATCTCCTGACCCCCTCACCTGGGCTGAGCACACAGGCTCTGGCTGTCCCCAGAGCGTGCCCAGCACACCATCATCACAGGACCTTTGCATTTACTGCCCCATTGTTTTTGGGTTCATCACCAATGTCACCCCTTAGAGAAGGTGTTTCTGACAACCCCACTTACGGCAGCAGCCTTTGACCCTGCCGCATATCCCTACGGTACTTTTTTTGCAGCCATCATGAGCGCTGAGTCACTGCACCTGCTCACAATGGCATGCTTCTCTCTCACTGAGAAACAAGCGCCAGGGGTGGTGATTTGTCCCACAGTTTGCTATGCCTTGAGCAGTCCCGGGCACACAGTAACATCACACATCTGGCAAACAATGAGTAAGCAAAATTCCCCTCCGAAGCATCCCTTCTGAGAGGTTTGGAGAGCTGGCCAGCCCCCCTCCCCCAGGCTGCTCTGGTGCTTGAGTAAGGGGGTGTCCCTCACTTTGCAGCAGGCCCAGGAAGACTCCAGGCTAGAGCCTATGAGGCTCATGTATTATCAGGGTCACAAGTGCAGGTCCTGGTGCTCAACAAAAATTAGGACAAGGCCAGAATGCCACAGGATCACAGGTGCTGGTGTAATATCTACTGTGCCACACCAGGCAGGGGCGGCAGACCTTGGGCTCCCTGTGAAGGTCCCGTGGTGCCCCCAGGCTCTCCCAGCACCCTGTAATTCAGCTTTGGTCTCTACCTATAGAGAAACTGTCTAAGTGGAGGCTAGGTGGCTGCCAGACTCCTCACCCCACAGTGTAAACATTTCCCAGCCTCCCACAGGCACAAACACAAATACCAGGCTGGCAGCTGGGCCAAGCCCCGCCCTCCCGGTGCTGTTTTCCTCTGAGAACCTTCCTAAGCACTGCTATTTTGAGCTTTCCTGACAGTGATTGATGACTGGAGGAAACATTTAAAAGCAGCAAAGCCAGACAGAGTAGGGGCACATTGCCTTCTTCCCAGTGATTGAGAGCTAGAGCCTGGCTGTGCCTGCCCACCTCTGGGTGTTTCCTTTTGATTAGACAATCGTTTCTCATCCAGACTCCTGCCATGCTGTCTGCTGACCCACAGGTAAGAGGAGCGACTGCCCTCTGGCTTGATGCTTTTAAAACAGGGCATTTCTCACCCTGAGCTTTTACAGCCTAGCTACTGGATAGAGACCAGGGTGGTGGGTGCCACTGACCGCTGTGATAATATGGTGTTTGCCCAAGGCTTTCGTGTTTACAAAGAACTCAGGGGCTGTGGTGTTAAAAGCTATGACTTCATGCATTTCCCCCAATGTCCCTGACAGTGGGCTTTATATAACCCTGTTTTTCAGATGGGTAAGTAGAGGTCTAGAGAGGTGAAGTTGCCAAAGGTCTCCAGGTCATAAGTGACAGATGGGTTTAAAACCTGGGTGCTCTCAGACCCCACATTAGCACCCTCAGTTCTCTTATCTGTTCATTCTTTGTTTTAAATTTTTAAATGAGTTTATTTTAATATATGTACTTTGCCTACAAGAATGTATGTGTACTACATACTTGCCCATAGGTTCCCTGGAACTAAATTTATAGATGGTTTGAACCACCATGTATGTGCTAAGAATTGAACTCGGGTCCTCTGCAAGAGTAGCCGCCGAGCCATCTCTCCAGCCCCGATTATTGGGTATCCTGAAACTGCACTAATGATGAGGTCTTAGCATGTGGGTTACGAAGGGCTGGGGGATGAGCCCTGGTCTCAGACCCACAGGTTCCTTCGTGCCTTTTGGGTAACCTAGCTCTACATGGCTTCTACGGTGATGGGGAGGGTGCAGAAGGGTGTTGGGAAGGCGTCAGGATAGCATGGTAGGCCACTATTTTCTCTTGGCCAACAGCTTGTTTTTGCTCTGTTAGCAACAATGAGGTCCCGGCTTCTGTTGCCCGTGCCACACTTGCCAACGATTCGGGAAACTTCCGAAGAGTTATCTCATGGGGCAGCTGGACAGGAACCCCCAACTTCTCCCAGCCTGGATGACTATATTAGGTCTATTTGCCAGCTGGCTCAGCCCACCTCAGTGCTGGACAAGGTCGCAGTCCGGAGCCGACCTCATAGCCCCTACCGGCCAGCCTGGACTAGAGAGAAGAGATGCCAGGCTGAGTCTCTAGCAGACAGCTCTCCTTGCTTCAGCAGCCTACCGCCCCCACTGTCCTCTCCTGGCACTGACAACCCCCTGGACTGGCTCTTCGGGAAGTCCCAGGAGCAGCAGGCAGACGGAAGAGATCCCACCAGTGGGCCCGGCTCTTCTGATCACGGCAGTGTGCACAGACAGATGGAGGAGTACACGGGGCGGCTCTGTGAGACCAGGCTACCTGAGAACTCTCCAGGAAGAACCTCAGGGCCTAGGCAGCAGACCTCCAACCGGAAAAGCTGGACTGCCAGAAAGTCTCACCAGGCCTTAGCCACTGTCTCCGGCTCTCGTCCCAGCGGTATCCTCAGCACGCTCTGCTTGCACCTCCCAGTGATCCATGAACTCTAACCCCTCCCCAGACAAAGTTCATAAAGACTGTGGTGGGTCCCGGTGCCACCCCATCCCCCCTCTTCTGAAGGCGCCTCCTGGCAGGAGGCAATTCCCAGTGAGAGCCACTGACTAAAGTGATGACAGCCTGGCTCCCACAATGCAACCTGCCTGGAACCATCTGCCTGTGACTGGCTGGCTGGTGACCTTGAAGGAGTGGCTTGGTGTCTCTGTTCCTTGGCTTTTCATGGTTTAAATGGCTGTGAGAGGACTGACCACCTCCCAGATTGTGCTAATGAGGAACTGTGTGCTGTACTCTGGGTGGCTGCCACAGTCTCATGTGAAAGCAAGAGTCAAGGACCAAGGGGGGTGGGGTGGTCTCAGCTCCCTGGAGCAGTGGTCCTCAACCATCCTAATGCTGTGACCCTTTAATATAGTACCCCGTGTTGTAGTGACCCCAAACCATAAAATTATTGTTGCTTCTACTGTAATTTTGCTGTCTGTGTTTTCTGATGGCTTTAGGCGACCTCTGTGAAAGAGTTGTTCGACTCCCAAAAGCATTGCAACCCAGATTGAGAACCACCATCCAAAAGGCTTCCAAGTAAGAGCCTGAGCTTCATCCTCCACCTTGAGGTTTATATTTCCTGGGGCCCAACAAAAGACATGAGGTCTCAGCAGATGTCCCACTATGTTTGCTAGGGACTGTCACCTAGGCACTCCGAGAACCTGCTGTCTTGGCTGCAGTGCCCAGATCTCTTAGTACCAGAGACATGCTCAGGGCCCAAACTGAATTCCCAGCACACAGTCTAAAGGCTGCCACATAGCTGCATCGTGGCCTGGTCTCTACTTGTCCTTCAGTGTACCCACCTTCTTCACTTGAGCCCCTCTTACAGGAAGGGACTCCCAGGAGGAAGTTGTCTAACCGCCTTGTTCTAGCTAAGCCTGGATGCTCTAAGGCATTAGAAATCCAGTCCAGCTTACGGGGGGGGGGGGGGGGGGGGGAGAGTGTATTTACCAAACATGAGTGTGAAGATGGGGAGTCTGTGATGGGAGGATTTCCTTTCTCAGAGAGGCAGGTGTGTTCGAAGAGAGCAGAAAAGAGACAGGACTCAAGGCCCAGCTCCAGGTCCCTTGTACTGGGCTAAGGACAGCTGGCCATGCTCAGGATGGAAGGGTCCAGGGGAGAAGGACAAATCTGGGACTTGGGACTTCATCTGGGTTTGCTCAGTGCACTGCCAAACACACACATTCTCTCTCTCTCTCTCTCTCTCTCTCTCTCTTTCTCTCTCTCTCTCTCTGTGTGTGTGTGTGTGTGTGTGTGTGTGTGTGTGTGTGTGTGTGTGTAATTTTAACATCTTTGCTGTCCTCTTTTGCATGTATTTTTTTTCCAGAAACTGATTATAAACCACATACCCAAAAGAAAATGTTTCAGACAAGCCATCTGTTCAGTTTTCTTAGTCATAAAATCAGGACACCCTTAGCAAAAGTTGGATAAGTGGACATGGACAGAGAGGCAGTTTGTATCTGTCAGCCTGCTGGGTCTCCTCAGTAGCCTCAACCCGGCCTCCTACAAGGCATCCTTTAGGCACAATGACCCCATGTGTGACAGGAAGACTGACCTACTGCAGAGGGGGTACCTGTCTGTAGACTAGGTGGGCAAGGCTTGCTTCACCCGCCTCTTTATATCCCTTCTGCAAAGCAGTATGGAAACTGGGTAGGGGGAGATACCTGGCGATTGTCACGGCACGAGGGGATATCCCACATGCTCAGAAGTCATGCTACTGCACAGACAGTCATGGAACTTGCTCCAATATTCTCTGATATGAAAGATGCTAATTGTTAACTTGAGAAGGTGCTCTGCCCCACCCTACACACCCCCACACTATCAAGCCCACTAAAGATTTGGGGAAGGCTGAGAACAGGGTGGTGTAATAGATACTTTGCAGCTCCCAGGGGACAGATGTGCAGAAGGCCACATACTCACTCCAGGGTTCTAGGAGGGGGGCAATCCTTCTAGGGAAATGTGGGTTTCACACACTGTAGACCTCAAATGCAGCAGAACTGGATGCAGTGTGGCACACGGCCACCAGGGGGAGACTGTGAACCACTAAAGGTTTAGTGGTTGGGAAAACATTATCAGATGTCCTGGGTGGGGTTAGTACAGTTCTGCTTTCATGGATCGGTTTATGCACCAGCATTTCCAGAAAGCCACCAACTTCAAAAGGTACTGATTGTTCTTAGAAGTTACACTTTTCATTGTGACGGAAGCAAAATTATCCCCAAAGCAGTTTTACAGTAAACTGGCTGACCATCTTGCAGAGAGCTCCCCCTACTTCTTAGTAATTGAGAGAAAGGTCATTGGGAAACAGTTGTCCCAGGGCGTGGCCCCACCCACAGATGTACCGCATCTCTCTACAGGCATCCTGTGTTCAGGGCGGGAGTGTCTCCAAACTGTACACTAGCCTGTAGTTGCTATGGGAAGGGGCTTATGGCCACTAGGAAGGTCTCTTCCAGGGCACGCCCAAGTGGTGAGTGCTCCAGCAACTTGGAGGTACCTGACGGCCTGGGGATCAAGAGTGACAAACTGCCCAGTGCCGGAGATCTGTTTAGTGAGACCCAGTTCAGATTCTACACCTTAACAGTGGCACTGGGGCTCTGGAGCGATGCCAGCCAGCCGCATTTACTCCATGTCCTGTGACTTGAACTATGGCCTCCAGGAAGGAGAAGGAAGGTCGAGATGTTCTGGAAGTAAACAAACTGAAAGACTGGGAAAGCTGAAATCAGGGCCACCCCAGGGCTATGGATGCAGTAACAGCTGCCGGAAGGGAAGGAGACTCACCAGCCAGCTGCACAGGGCTGCGTTTCCCCAACCTACAAGTTGTGTAGAGCTTCTCAGGGTTCAGCTTCCATGGATTATCTTAAGGTGTATTACTTTTGTTTATGTTGTATTGGTTTAACTCTGTGAAGCTGTGTTACTTTGCCTGTCTAAAACACCTGATAAAGAGCTGAATGGCCAGTAAGTGAGGCAGGAAAGAGAAATAGGCAGGACTGGCAGGCAGAGAGGAGAAATGTGAGGAGGGATCTGGGAGAAAAGGAGGTCTGGGAACGAGAGAGAAGGAGGAGAACGTCGGGGTCCAGCCACCCAGCCACAGCCAGACACAGAGTAAGAAGGAATAGAGAAAGAGAAAACCTCCGAGGCCAAAGGTAGGCAGGATAGTTTAAGTTAAGAAAAGCTGGCAAGAAGCAAGCTGAGTTAAGGCAGGTATTTATAACTAAGAATAAGCCTCCATGTGTTATTTATTTGGGAGCTGGGTGGTGGGCCCCTCAAAAAGCCAAAAGAGCAAAACACCACACAACAGGACATGGCTATAATTGTTACTTTGGTCTATAGTGGATTATTTTTCTGGGGTGAGTAGGTATCTGTATATGCTGTATCTTCCCAGGGAAAGCTGCTAAAACAATACAACTAGGGCAACTTCTGAGAGCCTCTTTTTTTTTTTTTTTTTTTTTTTTTTTTTCAGGAATAGGTCCACGGTAATAATTAGAAGAGAGGCAAAGTGGTCAGTGTACCAGACTCCCCCTGGTAACTATAGCTTCCTCCATCTGCCTGTCCTGATGCCCAAGGACATCAGGCTTGTCCTATAGTGAGTGCTTAGCACATGGGTTCCTGGACAGCCAACTGCAGGTCTGAGACCCTTGCACTGGGTGGTAGGTAGGTAAATCACAGGGACTCTGTGACATGAGTGGGCATCAACCCAGGGACCAATCATGCCTGTCTGCCAGAATTCTGGGATTTTAGATGTGTGGGTTTGCTTCTATGATGGTTGTTACCTTGAAAAAGCACACACTTCCTCAGACTGCTAGCTTCCTGAGTCTGTTAATACTGCAGAAGTCTCTTGAAAGGTATTTATTTCCTCATTCCACAGAGGTCAGGTCTGTTAGAAAGGCAAAACTAACTGTGGTTAGTTCTCTGTCAGGAGCAGAGGCTGTTAGGGATGAGTTCCGGCAGCTGCACAGTTCGGTGATTTTGGTTGTGAGCCTAGCCTTTAAAGGCTGAGCCATCTCTCCAGCCCCAGCTGTCTGGTTTTCAAAGAGGACTGTCCCTCACAAAAACCATGACGTGCTCAGGGCTATGTAGCTGGCCTCATCCCACACAGCCACTCCCACAGAAAGGATTGCATTGGGCAATGCCAAGTGACAAAATCAGGGTCTTGTCATGGAGCTTAGGCTGACTTGAAACTTATTAGGTGACACAGACTGGCTGTGAACTCACGACAATCCTCCTGCATCAGGTTCTGAATGCCAGGATTAGAGTAGTGTGTTAATTGTTCTCAAACTTGACCTTTTATAAGAATGCCCTGAAAATTTTGCTAAAACACTAATGGGAGAAAGTTCTCTCTCTCTCTCTCTCTCTCTCTCTCTCTCTCTCTCTCTCTCTCTCTCTCTCTCCCTCCCTCCCTATGTGTTTGTGTGTGTGTGTGTGTGTGTGTGTGTGTGTGTGTGTGTGAGAGAGAGAGAGAGAGAGAGAGAGAGAGAGAGAGAGAGAGAGAGAGAGAGAGAGAATGGGCACACATACATGGAAGATTTCTGTTTCCAGTCAGTTCCTTCGTGATACTGAGGATGTTGACACAAGGGTCCCAGCCTTAGTAACATCAGTCCCAGAACACCTAAAGGGAAACCCAGCCAAGACCCACCCCCCATACCCTGTGCCCATGCCAGGGACCTGGGGTAGGCACAAATCCCTCACGTGGTGGCACAGGTCAAAGACCGAAACTCCTCAAACCCCATTTGTCTGCCTCCCTCCCTTGCTGCCCATCACACTGGAGCTTGTGACTCAGGATCCTTTTCTCCTGAATGGCCCAGGTCTACACCCACCCAGCTGTGTACAGAGTCTGACCTGGCATCTGCAGAACCAAGTGGGACCCAGTCCCAACTCCCAGAAGTTCATCACCCAGGTGAGAACAGAGACAGTGGAACCCAAGATGGCAGGGCTATAGGACAGGAGCCAGGCCAGAGCAGTAAGAGGCTCTGTGGGGCTGGGGGGCTGGAAGCCGGCAGGGTGGGACAGCCCGGGAGACAGCTGTGAAAGCGGAAGAGGATGAGAAGGAACCACGAGGTACCGAAAGGAGGAGACAGAGGGGAACACGGAATGAGCTGAGGAGTCAGGAGGACACAAGAAGAAAAGGCAGAGCATGGGGCTTTTTTTTGGGGGGGGTGGTTAAGACAGGGTTTCTCTGTATTGTTTTGGAGCCTGTCCTGGAACTAGCTCTTGTGGACCAGGCTGGCCTCGAACTCACAGAGATCCACCTGCCTCTGCCTCCCGAGCACTGGGATTGAAGGTGTGTGCCACCAACACCCGACTAGCACAAGGCTTTTGTTAGAGATGTCATAAGTGACTTGGCCCTGCCTGGACCAGGAACCTACAGCCTCTCCTCTGTGTGAGTGGAGGAACCAAACACCACGGTCCTGGCTCACAGCCTGCCATGGCGCCTGCCTGACACTGTTTGGCTGGCTCTAGTCTTGTACCACAGAAGGTTGGGGGCTGATGAATACGCAGGATGAGGGAGGTTCAGGGACCCAGCAGAGGCCTCTGTGAATCATGAAGGGGCCAGGCTGCACAACTACCCTGGGGACAACGGATGCACACTTCAGCAGTACGCACAAGCCAAGCAAATGATGACCCTACAAGCACAAAGGGTATAGGTCTCACCTCACGGGATCTTAGCTGGAAGCTCCTGCCCTCATGGTAGCAGTTGTAGGTTTTGAGCAGGCTTAACAGTTCTGACCTAAAAAGACACAGACACGGTACACGTGAGGGGTTGGGGCGGAGGGTGGACAAGACATTGCCACCACTGATCTTACCTTCTTCATCGGTAAAATAAATACAGAAAAGCATTTTTGCCAACCACATTGGCTCAACCAAGAGACCTGACTGTCCCATCATAACACTTGCTTTTTCATCTTCCAGCAGCCTCTGCATCTGGGCCCTCGTATGAGTTGGAGGAGGAGGGCAGTCAAGGTGGGGTGTTGAGAAGGAAACACAATTCCCAGGGAGGTTCCCAGGGTATATACACACGTCCACTATTGCTATGAGCCCCTCGGGGATGCATACACATTCACTATTGCTATGAGCCCCTCGGGTATGTATACATGCTCACTATTGTGTGTGAGCACCTAGGGTATGTATACATGCTCACTATTGTGTGTGAGCACCTAGGGTATGTGTACCATTCACTATTGCTATGAGCACTTAGGGTATGTATACATGCTCACTATTGCTATGAGCAATGCTAACAGCCTCCCTTTGCTCTCCTCTGACCTGTTGCCTCCAAAGACCCTACTGGCTTGGATTACCAGCTATTGTGGGACCACAAGAAAGGCGGAGGCTGCCTTTTTCATGTCGTGATTGTCCAGGGGTACAATCCTGGGATGAGGGTGACAGCGCCCAAGCAGGCCAGTCTGACCAAAGACTTTCTCCCAGCACATCGGGAAGCCATAGTGCCCTAGGGATGGTCAGGACAAGTGTAGTATTGATACAGGCTAGAGGATTATGGGGTGTGAGACATGCAGGTGATTTTCAGTCTCCCATTAGGTTGAAAGGGGGAAAAGGTAGGGAAACTACCATGGTTTGAGTGTTCAGACTATCGACATGGGATCAGTGAGGGCTGGCATATTTTTGTGTGTGAAGTGGTCGCGACCAGTATGTTCTGTCCTCCTGGCTATGGTGCCCCGCTGGACCCCAGTGCTCTGTCACCTTCCCAAGGAGCTCCCCAACCCCACACACAGCGTAAAAAGAGGACAGGGACATTTGGGGGCTCAGGCGGGCATGTGTTCTGTGTACGATGTGGAGATGCTAGGAACTAACAAGGGCAACAAAGTGCAGCTTAGTGGCAGCAGCAAGCCAGGGAGGGTCCATCTTGCATTTGTCCTGTGCCCACAAATAGCTAAAGGTCCGACACAAAATTATTGGGAAATACACAGGTATGTGAAGTTAATCATACCCAAGTGTGGAAAATATTCATACTCAGGATTCAAAATGGGGGGAAATCTCTAAAAATAAAAAATATGCTTCTTGGCTGGGCAGTGGTGGCTCACACCTTTAGTTCCAGCATTCGGGAGGTAGAGGCAGGCAGATCTCTGTGAGTTGGAGGCCAGCTTGGTCTACAGAGCGTGTTCCAGGACAGGCTCCAAAGCAATGCAGAGAAACCCTGTCTGGAAAAACAAAACAAAGAAAAAATATGCTTCTCAGGCTGGCAAGATGGCTCAGCAGCTAAAGGTACTCACTGCCAAGCCTGGTGGACTGAGTCTGAGCCCTGAGACTCACATGGTCTCATGGTGGAAGGAGAGAATGATTCCCAAAAGTTGTCTTTTGACCTCCACATAGTTGCTGTGGCAGGCACCCCACATCCCAGAGACACACAGACAGACAAATACACAAATGAGTAAATAAATGCGTGAAGGAAAAGACACTTCTCTTTACTTCAGAGAAAATATTCCAAGTAGTTATTATGAGACCAAGTGAATAAAACTAAGCAAAGTTAAAATGCATCAATAAACTTCACCTTTTCCATTAAAACCCACAACCAGATTTTTAAACGGTTTTTATACAGTAAGAGTTTTCCTATGATTCCGGTCTTTAAATAAATTAAATACTGTCCGGGTAGGGCCCATGGCCATCGCTTTCTTGCTCACACCCATATCCGGAAGAATACCTTGATCTCCATAGAGGGTCGCCCCCCAACGAAAGCATGTACTGCTGTCCCTAGGCACAGTGCTAATCTAAAGAGTTCTGCCACCCACATCCTGGCCTCCACAGGTGGTTACAGAGCGCCCCTAAACCCCAACATTGTCACTCACGCTTACTTCAGAATAGACTTGCTGTCACTGACGGGCACATGAGAGCTGGGCGAGCAATCTTCCTTCATTTTCAGCTCTTGTCTTCAGACTCAGAAGTCACCTGTCAGAAAGACAGCAAAGAGTGCTGTCTTAGTGCGGGTTTCTATTGCTCGGATGAAACACCATGACCAAAGGGACTTGGGCAGGACAGGGTTCATTTGTCCATATTATTGTTTGTCATTGAAAGAAATCAGGACAGGAACTCAAGCAGGGCAGGAAGCTGGAGGCAGGAGCTGATGCAGAGGCCATGGAGGTATTCTGTTTACTGGCTTGCTCCTCATGACTTGTTCAGCCTTCCTTCTTAAAGGCTTTTCTAAAGTTTCCCCCTACCCTGGTCCTCTCTTTTCCTTTCCCACTGAGCTGGGGCAGTGATCCATCAATGACTTTGGGGTCTACTCCCTTGGGCCAACTCTCCCAGGAGGGATTAATTTATATCACACGTATTCCTTCTGGTCTACAGAGCAGTTCCATGAATTGTCTAGCCCTTACACTAACAGTACGAGGCATTAATCAATATTTCCATTTTATGGTGAGAAAAAAGGACAGAGGTAAAGTCCAAAGTCAACCAATGAAGAGGAGTAAGAGTCTGGGTGCCTGATTCTGGCCCCTCCACTCCTCCACTGTACATGCTCTTGGTAAGTTCTTAACCCTATAAGCCATGTGGAGCCGTGTCCAGCATCCAGTTTCTGTGGCAGACTCACACGTGAAGTTCTCTGTGTCTCCCTCCACCCACAGTCAGGAAGCATGAGGGTCTTCAGGCCTGCCCACGCTGCTTTCGTGGAAGATAAAGTACAAGAACCTCTCTCTATCTTTCTGGCATCTTCTGAGTTATAGTTATCCCCTAGCATATAGCGGATTCCTGTGAAAGGTGCCACATCCTGGGACTGACGGCCTTCTCAGCTACAGAGTTTTTAAACAACTTACAGAGTTTTAGCTGAAGACAAAACTCACATGGGTTCTAATTCTGTCAGAAAATTGGTGGGCAGAAGACTAATTTTACTAGATCCTAGCAACACAACACACCACTATTTCTTACTGAGTGGAGAATTTTCTCCCTTCCACTTCTCCTTGGTGTCTGACTAGACAGCATGACTGTGGAACATTAATAGCCACATTATTAAATCAAACAGGCAAAGCAAGGGTTACATTACTCAAGCACTGACACTTTGACAGTCAGCCTGATGACATCGTTGGCTACTGGGAGGCTCTAACACCGGGTTGCTTTGTGTCTAGGCAGGGAGAATGCATCATGCTCCTTGGAATGGCTTTCAATTTAAAACTTACCAGATATCTATGTCCACTTAATAATTTCAGAACAAGGCTGTCCCCAGTTACAGGAAGTAGAGATAGACTAGAGCTACTGCTTCCTGGCTGAGGGCCTTCATGAGGGTCCTTCCTATTTTCTGGGCAGTAAGATGAAGCCCAGCACACCCTCAGTAGTGATGCAACCTCTACCCTTTTTCTCTCTGACCCATCCAATGTGCTCCTCCTTTCCCTGCCTGATACCCACCAGAAGGATATCATTCCTGAATAGGCATTTGATTACAGAGGCAGGTAAATTACTGGTGGCCAGGAGAAAGGAAGGATTGGGGGGGGGATGGGCTTAATGGCAACCTTAGAAGTATCTCATCAACACAGCTCTGCTCACTCTAAAGCAAGACCAACAGAGAAGCCAGGCCCCTTGCAGGAAGGCTTTGACTAACATAGTAATGAAGCATTGCCCCTTGGGATCAGAGCTGGGGGCTACCTGTGTATTCTTGTTGGCCCAGCAACGGGGTTTTCAAAATAGGGCTGGGTTTCCTGTGCATGGCTTATGGAAAGAATGGATGTTCTCCATGTCTGGGTAGTTCCTCAAACTCGCCAAAGCAGAGAAGTGTTCCGCCCAGGGGAATACCCTGTGTTGGGGTTTCTGGGCTGACACTGGTTGCACAGGCATACATAACAGTGAAACGTTTTGAGCACGCTCATTACAGGAAGGGCTGCAGTAACTCCGGAATGATAGGAAATGGGGTTTCCCCTTGCTGTCCTCTGCATCTTCAGCCAGCTTTTTCCGACTTCTTGCCTGAAGCCCCAGCTTTGCTGGAGCTTGATGCCCTTTCCTCTCAGATGGCTTTTGCTGTGTTACAGGAGAGTCTTCCTCTCAGCCTATCCTTACCTGCCCCAGCACACCAGTTACAGAGTGAGCCCTGGCCAGGGAAGGGTGAGCTGGAGGAGCTTCTCACATGGGGTCTCTTCAATATTTATAATCCCACTTGATTAATCGATGCTCCCAGGGGCACCAACGCCCCGGGGATGCTCGTCCATGCCTTTCTGCTTCACCCCTTGTCTTTCATACCAATAATGGCTCAGCACTTTAAGGGGTGAAGTGAGTACAAGATTCACAGGCTCCCCCACAAGTCAGCTCTTTCAGAGCTGTACATACATGCAGCAATGTGTAAGTCAGGTTAGTTCCTCTAATCCCAAGCTGAGACGGGAGGATCACTGCAAACTTAAGTTTGGCGGGGGCTCCAGAGTAAGAGTATGTCTCAGAAAGAAAAACAAAAATGTAACCATGTCCAGGGACTAAGGGGATGGCTTAGTTAAGGGACAGTACTCACAGAGCCCACAGAGAGTTGGGGACATATCCTTCTTTTTGAAGCATAGATCTTCTGGTTTACTCATAGGAAACCAGAAATCTGGGTTTTCCCATCACTACTTAAAGTCAGGAGCTTTGCACAGAAACACTGGCTGCCCCCAAAATAACTATGTAAAATGATTAGCAGCCTTCCCAGCTCCCTGGACGTGAGGTCATGCTTCCAACTCTGGCCTTTCTGCTACAAAGGGACATGTGCGGATCACCTTCCTGATGGCACTAGCAAGCAGTTTCCCAATGTCTGCCCACAGTCACTCCAACATGAGTGCACACATGTAAAAATTAGAAACCAGGTTCTGCATATGAGAGCAAATGTGTATGCATGCAGCATTTGTCTCTCTGAACCTGGGCTTCCACCTTTAATGTAATGTTTTCCAGTTCTACCCATTTTCATGAGATTCCCTACATGCTTTGACTTTTGGAAGCTATCATGAGCTATGCTCTTCCTTCTCTGGTTTCTTCCTTGGCAAGTCTGCTATGATTCTATAGGAAAACTGCTGGCTTTTTATCCTGACTTCTTATCCCATCATTTTGCAGGGAGTGTTTATAAGTTCTGAGAGTTTTCTGAAGAGTCTTTAGTGTCCTTCAAGGACAGGGTCAAATTGTCTGCAACTGGGAACGAATTGGCTTCTTTCTTTCTAGTTCGTATCCCCTTTTCCCTTTCTCTTGTCTTACTGTTTGTTGGCCCCCTTATCTTGTTACAGAATTTTCTGGAAATGCTTTCAATTTCCCCCCATTTAGTTCAGTGTTGGTCATGGGATGTCCATCAAGGACTGGCCAACCTATTACTCACAATTATTTCATAATAATCAATTTTATGAAATGACTACATTACCAAAGGCTATGTGTAGATATAATGCAATCCTCACTCAAATCTCAATGACATTCTTCACAAAACTAGAAAAAAATAATTCTAATATTGATATAGACAAAGATAGTCAAAGAAATCCTCAGCAGGATGAGCAATGCTGGAGGTATAATTGTACCTGATCACAGTAGATCATAGAGCCACTGGACCTGATCTCAGTAGATCACATAGCCACTGCACCTGATCACAGTAGGTCACAGAGCCACTGTACCTGATCACAGTCGATCACATAGCTACTGTACCTGATCTCATCATGTCACACAGCCATCATAACAAAAATAGCAGAGCAGATATTATATCAGTGGGCAGAATAAACGACCCAGAAATGAAACATGCTGCTATGGCCACCAAAGTTTGACAAAGGTGTCTTTCAAAACCACATTTCGGAAAAGACAGCCTGCCTCACAAATGTGCTGGGAAAACTAAACTCTCATGTGTAGAGAAGAATGAAACTAGCCCTTTCTAATAGCTTGGAACTTTGAAACCACTAGAGAAAAATGGGTAAAACACCTCATAAGCAAGGACATAAGCAAGGACTTCCTGAAAAGACTTTCCAACTGCTTACAAAATAATCCCAAGAACTGACCTATGATGCTACATGAAAAAGGAACAAACGGTAAAAGGTCCACCTAAAGAATGAGGGGAAATCTTTGCCAGTTACACATCATAGACTGATATCTAGAATACATAAAGAAAGAACCAAAAACTTAAACACAGAAATCCGACTCATCCAATCAACAAATGGACTAACGACCCAGAAACACAAATAGCCAATACATACTTGGAAATGTATTCATCATCCTGGGCCCTTAGAAAAATGAAAATTAAAACTGCTTTAGAGTCATCTCACCCAAGTCAGAATGTCTATCATCAAGAAAACAAATGCTGGCAAGAATGTGGGGGAAAGAAACTCACACACCACTGTGAGAATGTAAATCTGTGCATTCATAATAAAAGTCAATATGAGATTCCTAGAAATGTAACTATAAACGAAGTAGCATATGACCCAATTATGCTACTCCTGTGTACATGCCTGGAGGGTTCCAAGTCAATGTATCCAAAATCATTTTTGCCATTGCTGTTCTTTGAAGAAAAAGAACAGTTCCTGTCTATTGCCACGGGCCATGGACACAGTGGTACACCCAGTGGAATTTTATTCAGGTGTAAGAAAAAGAAGAATCGTGACTGTGCAAGAAAATGGATGGAGCTGGGACCATTGTGGAAAGTAAACAGACTCAGAACGACATTATCTCAGATTCTCTCATATATGGGGCCTAAATTTAAAAGCCCCCTTCTCTCTCTCACTCTCTCTCTTTCTCTCTTTTTCTGTCTGTCTCTCTGTATAACTAGAATGAGGTAGAGAAAGATCACAAGGGAGGGTTGTACAGAAAAGAGGGTGATAGAATAATGCGACACCAACAAAGAAGGGGACTGTCTGGAAGGAAGGAGGGAGCAGAGCTGGGTGGTGGGCAGGATGCACAAGGTTGGGCAGTGGGGAGGGGAAAGAGTGGCTTATGTGTATAGAGATGCCCAGTGAAACCCGTTGCCCAATGTGCTAACA